GCTACAAAAGCTTTAAAAGCTCCGTCTTTCAGAAAAAGGAAAAAAATATAGAATGAATAGAAATAGACATAAATTCATGTTCATGCTCACAATTTTACATGGTTCGTGAAGAGGGGAGACATGGCCTCCCCTTTTCATGAGATTTTAGAATGTGTTTGAATATTTACCTGTGAGCTGGTTAAAGGAAATGAAACAGGTTTGGTTTGTATCATGTTTGAATATCAAGGAAAAAAACATTCTCAGATTAACCCCAAAAGATAAATTATAAAAATAGCAGATACATTTATTTCTATTGTAATGTTAACAGTGCTATCAATAACTTAAAATGGGGAGCAGTGTTAGAAAGAGTTTAACCTTAACATAAGTTTATTTTTCAAATGGTTAAATGTGCTCAAACTACAAAAAAGGATGGAAAGTTTTCAGTCAAATAATTTACTCTAATAGAATAAACATTTTTTTTATATATATATATCTAGTAGGGGTGTAACAAACATGCATGAACACTGTATGGTTAAAAATTTATTATTATTTTTGATCATTTTATTCTTGTTCAGGAAAAAATATTTTTTGTTTATTTTGGTCACTGTTATTTTGAAGGACCAAGACAAAAAGACATGTCTAGGAGTCACCTATCATGATCAAACACATCCACCACGCAGTGTTTATAAGGCAAAGCATATGTGGTCATTTCCATATAACCAAATCCTTTTGAAGATTTCTATAAAGAGGCAGAATCAGATATTCGCTCAGGAACACTCAGAGGACCCTTGATCTGTTTGATGTCTTCACACCGGACACTTTAAAGTGGAAATGTACAGATGTGATAGAGGCAGTACTGACGACGGAAACATCAGGATCTTTGATGGGCTTCAAAAACTAAACTGTTGAAACAGAAATTGCACTTTGTTGTTTTAATTGTTTTATACGTGACTTAAAAAAATGTTTTTTGTTTGAAAATGTTTGAATATTTGTAGAAAAATCATGAAAAATAAATTGTGCTCTAGTTTTACGCAAACCTAAATATCAGATTACTGACAAAAATATATAAATGTCGCTGGCAAAATCCTTCTTTTTTGTATTGTTATTAATCAGCATTAGAGATAATCCAGTGGTTTGAATTATAAGTACCTCAGTCTGTTAGAATTAAGGGTCACAGGTCAGATCCCAAGTGAAAAATTAAGCATAAGGTTTTGCTTTTCTGTAGTCTAGAACCATAAATGATATTCTTGTAGAAAGGACTGCTTAACAGGTCTTCCATCGGGCTGTACTGTCTGTGACTCTAAACAGAACATAGGGAGGATGACAGAGCAGCCTGAAAGAGGAGATGAAGACCAGGTGTGTGTCTGTAGCGGCGGATGCACAGATGGTCATCTTTTAATCCTGCACAGCATCGGGGGAAAAAAGGCCATCATCAGGATAGTCATACATTTTTCTGATTTTTTTTTTTTTTATGTGTGTGATCTTCAAACAGCTTGGATGAATTAGCTTGATAAGCAGTGTCTTTGAAAATTATAAACTGGTGACATTTTTATATCTTCCCCATTTCTCCTTTTTTCTGCTTTTTGTGGGTTTACGGAGCAGAATGTTTCCTACAACTTTTGGCACATTTGATGAGGATATGAATGAACATATAACTGGATTTCCCTCGATAAGGGATGTGATGTGTAAGATTATACTAGAAGTCTCTTTCTAAAGCCCTTTCCAGACTGAAAGTAAGCATCAATCGGCTAATCTAAACTGATATCATTTCATGTGTTTCCCATTTTGAAGAGTAGCTATTACAAACAGGCCTGTAAAATAGCTTTAGTTAAATTTATTTTAAAGGTGAGCGCAATTACATTTAGGCGAGTAAATATATTGTTGATACAAAATTTTACGAGGGCATATCATATAAATGTGGAGAAGGTTGTTTTGCAGTGAGTAAGCCTCTGATTTCTTAATCAACATAACTGTATTCTCTTATTCCTAGATATAAACCCTCTTTACCTTCAAAAGTTATCTTAATTGCTAAATCTGCTAAACTTCCCTTGACATTTGCTAGATAATCACCTCAGGTTTATACCTCTTAAATATGCGTGAGAATAGGATACTACAATAAAGTACACTTCAGGAAAAGGCTTCTGAAACATCACAGTTGAACAATCCAGAACCTTATCATTAATTTATTTACAATTAAACATGTATTTATGGGAGTTTTATGTGATAGGCTGACAAAAAATGTCACATTTTGTTTCCCCTTTTTAAAACATGCAAGGAGAACAAAAACATGATTCCATAAACATATCAAGAAAAAAAACATAAGCCATGAACTACAAATTAAATATGTAGAAGCTGGCCAGTTTACAAATGTGAACTATACATTTAAAACCTTGTGTCTCATTCAAGATGATTTTACAAGATACTGTGGTGGGGGTTTTAAACCTTAATATAAATATTCATATAAATTCATATATATGGAGGAAGATAATATATACAGGTGCTGGTCATAAAATTAGAATATCATGAAAAAGTAGATTGATTTCAGTAATTCCATTTAAAAAGTGAAACTTGTATATTATATTCATACATTACATACAAACTCATATATTTCAGATGTTTATTTTGTTTAATTTTGATGATTACAAATGACAACAAATGAAAATCTCAAATTCATCATATCAGAAAATTAGAATATTACTGAAGACCAATAAAAACAAAGGATTTATAGAAATGTTGGCCAACTGAAAAGTATGAACATGAAAAGTATGAGCATGTACAGCACTCAGTATTTAGTTGGGCCTCCTTTGGCCTGTATTACTGCAGCAATGCGGCGTGGCATGGAGTCGATCAGTCTGTGGCACTGCTCAGGTGTTATGATAGCCCAGGTTGCTCTAATAGTGGTTTTTAGCTCTTCTGAATTGTTGGGTCTGGTGTATTGCATCTTCTTCTTCACAATACCCCATAGATTTTCTATGGGGTTAAGGTCAGGAGAGTTTGCTGGCCAATTAAGAACAGGGATACCATGGTCCTTCAACCAGGTACTGGTAGCTTTGGCACTGTGTGCAGGTGCCAAGTCCTGTTGGAAAATGAAATCTGCATCTCCAAAAAGTTGGTCAGCTGCAGGAAGCATGAAGTGCTCTAAAACTTCCTGGTATGTGGCTGCGTTGACCCTGGACCTCAGAAAACACAATGGACCAACACCAGCAGATGACATGGCACCCCAAACCATCACTGACTGTGGAAACTTTACACTGGACTTCAAGCAACGTGGATGAAGTGCCTCTCTTCTTTTCCTCCAGACTCTGGGACCTTGATTTCCAAAGGAAATGCAAAATTTACTTTCATCAGAGAACATGACTTTGGACCACTCACCAGCAGTCCAGTCCTGTTTCTCTTTAGCCCAGGCAAGACGCTTCTGACGCTGTCTGTGGTTCAAGAGTGGCTTGACACAAGGAATGCGACAGCAGAAACCCATGTCTTTCATACGTCTGTGTGTGGTGGTTCTTGAAGCACTCACTCCAGCTGCAGTCCACTCTTTGTGAATCTCCCCCACATTTTTGAATGGGTTTTGTTTCACAATCCTCTCCAGGGTGCGGTTATCTCTCTTGCTTGTACACTTTTTTCGACCACATCTTTTCCTTCCCTTCGCCTCTCTATTAATGTGCTCGGACACTGAGCTCTGTGAACAGCCAGCCTCTTTAGCGATGACCTTTTGTGTCTTGCCCTCCTTGTGCAAGGTGTCGATGGTCGTCTTTTGGACAACTGTCAAGTCAGCAGTCTTCCCCATGATTGTGTAGCCTATAGAACTAGACTGAAAGACCATTTAAAGGCTTTTGCAGGTGGTTTGAGTTAATTAGCTGATTAGAGTGTGGCACCAGGGGCCATCAATTTTGAACCTTTTCACAATATTCTAATTTTCTGATATGATGAATTTGAGATTTTCATTTGTTGTCATTTGTAATCATCAAAATTAAACAAAATAAACATCTGAAATATATGAGTTTGTATGTAATGTATGAATATAATATACAAGTTTCACTTTTTAAATGGAATTACTGAAATCAATCTACTTTTTCATGATATTCTAATTTTATGACCAGCACCTGTAAGTCCTTGATTGAACTTTTGAAGTTGGAGACAACGATTAAATGCAGACACACTTATGGCCGCTAGGGGGCGATTTAACTGATTTATGCACATGATAAACTTCAGTGCATGTTTATGAAACATATAAATAGAATTTAATTTTGGATATTTTCATTTTGAAGTTAATTGAAAGATAGTTATATGTTCATATCTTTTGTAATGAAGATTTGAACCTTTTTTTTTTAGATTTATTGTGTGATATTTTCAGTCTGTGTTAACATTTTAGACCTGCCCCTTGATGATCTAGGACATTTTTATGTCATGTTGATCAAATTCTATTGCCCATTTAATTGGAAAAACAATGGAAACATTAATTTAGATTTTGTTTTGAACTTATCTCATGGTGATAGTGGCCAAGATGCCAATGTGCTGTGATGCGCCCAGAGATGATGTACTTTGTTTGTATTTCTTTTTTTTTTTAAAGATAAATAAAAAGTAAATAAATAAATCTAATTTGTCACAGTAGCAGTCAGCGTAAATCATCGTGAAAAAAGGTGGAGCTCTGCTTCTGTCCTGAAACACCAAGAATAATACGCTGTTATTCCAGTGTTTCTCATGTTAATGCCTGCAATTTGTAAGTAATCCACGGAATCTCCACTGGCACCCATGATTGTCTTTGGCCCTCCTGTGGGGCCACAACAAGAGATCAGCCAAACTGGGAATAATCATGTTAATTAAATTAAAGGTAATCGCAAATAAAATGCATACATATTACAACTGTGGTCTGCAGTCATCGCGCTTTTTTTTTTTTTACATGGATTATATTAATGATCCTGACAGGGTGATGTTTAATCAGATTATTACTTGTGTGGGTGTGCGTGTGTGAGAGAGAGGGTGGAATGGGGGTCGTGATGGTGGGATTATGCGGACAAACTAAGGGGGTAGTGGAGCTGCGTGCTTTCACACTGACACAGACGCACAAACGCGGAGGACCAAGCATGCAGCGCAAACTGCTGAGAACTTTGCTTTAACTTTACTTTCTCACTTTGAGCTTTAAATCGACCATAGATAACAGAAGCTTCTTGTTATTTTTGGCTTTGGATCGCTGACTCAGCCCCGGACCTGTTGGATCAAACTCACTTGCAACTTCTGTCTGAGATCGAGTGCGCTTTAAAGAATAAACGTTGCAGATCTGTAGACTTAAAGATATCTGTCTGGAGGAGCGCTGGAAGGATGATCTGACTCTGCGTAAAGTCCCAGAGGACATCTATCCCATCTCAGCCAGAAAACACGTGAATCTGCAGCAGGAGCCGCAGCGGCGTCCAGAGGGCTTCAGGGAACATGACTGAGTCCGGCGGTTTAGTGGGATACTTGTCAGCTCATTTTACGTGACCGCATGGTGCCTGTGCTGCGGGGTTAAAGAGCGCTCTCCATGCATGCTGGAGAAATAAACAGAGTTGTTGCAAACACGTTGTTGGAGCTGTCTTGCACAAGTTTGGTGAGAGCTGCACAATGCAGGGGAGTCTGAGCGCATTTATCCAGTGCTGTCTCATCCTGCTGGTCGGTGCAGACCAGTGGAGGCTTAAAGACACATCCAGCTGTGAGTTAAATAAGAAGGTAAGTGTTTTTAAAACATCAATCAGGCGGTTTGCCTTAATTAAAAAACATGCAATTTAATGAGTCTTAAAGGTTCATCTTAGCCCACCTATAATTACTAAACCATATTTTTATTTCAAATGTTTTATTTTATGAACTTTTAATGTTTATTTGTTCCATTGCAATATGAAACATCAGTGGCTTAATTCTAACTGAAAATAACACAGAGCTATACAAAACTTTATAAATCTTGAAGTTATTGTCAAGCTGCACTCGCACAAAGTAATATGATGGAATTTGATCTTGTCATTCAACATTATGTTCATAACTATCAGGTGGACAAAAAAAAAAAAGAGAAGTGTGACACTGTTTTTAGCTTCCTAAACTCCAAAGCCCTCAAATAATGTTTAGTGCATTTTCCTTCAAAAGTAATTTAAATGAAAAGAAAAAAAAGCCAATTATTTATATGATTGAAATTCAACATCAACAAGGTTGTGCAGTGGTGGTTTTAGACCAAACTTACTGGGGGGAGGGTGGGGCCAGTGTTTTTTCATGGGGGTACCAAAGAAAAGAATTAAGCAAAAACAGGCTAAAAGTTTGTTTAAAAATATTAAGGGAACCAAAGAGCCCTTTGTTGCTCTGGAATCCTCAGATAAAGCAGATAAAAACTGTCATTATATCTCAATATTTCCGAAGCTAAAAATGCAACAACCTAACTTTTACATCGTCATCAAAATCAGACTGTAAAGCAAAAAACAAATATAATAATCAACTGCATTTGTATATAACAATTGAATTAACATAAATTTATCTAGTTGGTCATTGTGACTTAATGCAGGGGCCATTGAAGGGGACATGACTTACTGAGGCGCTGGCCCCAGTTGTCCCCTGTCTACAAACTCCCATGCTGTTGGGCTTTTAGGGGCTTAGAGACTTGTTAAAGAGCAGTATAATGAAGACCAAAAAATAATAGATGTACATGGTTCCTCTGGAGGAGCTGCAGAGATTCACAGCTCCGGGTGGAGAACGTGCTAGAAGATGCTGATTTGTTCTGGGTCTTTATTAAGTACTGAATGAAGGAAGCCCATGTTAAAATGTTTGCAAAATACATCCAGTCTGCACCTTCTCAAAGGCTATGTAAGGTGACAAAAAGGTAACATTCTGGCTTCCACCATATAAAAAGTAGCATGTCACATCATCCTGAATGTCTCAACTATGTTCATAGTAAGACATGGCTATGGTAGCCAAGTTATATAAATAATGCAACAATTTTGGTAAAACGGTTTTGTAAACAAGACTGAGCTAATGGTATGTTAAATTAGTTTCAGAAGTCGAAGCTCAGTTCTGAAAACAGCACTGCAAATAAGTTGAACATGTTCTAGTAGCATTAGGAAATGTGGAATTGACTTGAGTCTGGGATGGAGGTTCATTTTCAGGATAAGAAAAACTAAACATACTTTGCAAAATTGATGCTCATAAGTGATTTAAATACATCATGCTGGGATTTACTTGGTACCCCTGAGTAAAAAAGTTAAAGAAGCTATTAAGATTGCATTTATTTCCTCTACTTTTTACATTTTAATAATATTACCAATTTTTTATTGCTTGCAATTAGTCACTTTTACAGCACTTCTGTTTTTACACATTTTTCTCCACCTTTTGGGGGGTTCATTCAGTGGCAACAGGAAGGCATAATATTCTGGGTAACAGCCTTTTAGTCTGACAATCAGCAACATGTGTATTGTTTCTTTGGCACCTGGGTTCTAAGTGGCCTGTTAAAAAGTCATTATCAGTCTGTTAGCAGTCTAACAGGCAGACAAAGAGGTTCTTGGTGTCAGACAAGTCCGCTGTTGCTTGTAAAGTAATTGTAAATCCAACCCTTGGCTCTGTTATAGGGTCTTTATGCCTTCCTAACTTGCTCTTGAGTAGGCCTACCTCGTAAATTAATTAACCAACGCAAAATGGTATCATGTTTAATGACAAGGAATTACTGAATACAGTTTATATATGTCTGGGTGATTTATTTTCACTCTTAATATTGTAGTGTTTATTATCATGAAAATCCATTCAATTAATGGTTTTTATCATTGTCCAGAAGATTTGCACAGCCTTACCTTTTAATTTTTTCCTCAGCAATCTGACCTTAACTCCTTCCTCTGGACCATCAAACGGGATCCTCCATCATATTTTTATGGTACAATCCATGTTCCCTACACCCGGGTTTGGGACTTCATCCCTGAAAATTCCAAGCAAGCCTTCCAAGAGAGCAACATTGTTTACTTTGAGCTGGACCTGACTGACCCTTACACCATCTCTGCCCTGACCAGCTGTCAGCTGCTTCCCCAGGGGGAAAACCTGCAGGACGTCCTACCAAGGGACATCTACAAGAGACTTAAAAGACATCTTGAGTATGTAAAACTTATGATGCCATCTTGGATGACCCCAGATCAGAGAGGGAAAGGACTTTATGCAGACTACCTCTTCAATGCCATTGCTGGGAATTGGGAAAGGAAGCGTCCTGTGTGGGTGATGCTGATGGTGAACTCTTTAACTGAGGCAGACATTAAGACACGAGGGGTGCCAGTGCTGGACCTTTACTTGGCCCAGGAGGCGGAGAGGATGAGGAAGAGAACAGGAGCTGTGGAGAAGGTGGAGGAACAATGCCATCCGCTTAATGGTCTCAATTTCTCTCAGGTGAGTTTGAAACTTTCTGGCTTTAAAACTACTTCTATTTTTTGTACATTGCTTCTGCAGGATTTCAAATCAAGACTAAATGTATAGGTTTGCATTGCTAACATAGGCTGCTTCTCTTTGAGAAAAAGTAGTATTAAGTCTTTAACTTCTGACTTGTGTTGTAAACGTCTATTCCTCTGGGTGCACACAGACATTTATTAGACTTTAAAAATTATCTTAAAATGATCTTTGTTGCAATCTTCATTGTTATTTTTATACTTTGTTTCTCTCTAAAACTTAGATCTCTTTAAGCTCCATAGTCATCAGATAAAACTGTCTGCATAAAATGAGAGTAGAGATGAAATTGTTGATTGAAAGCAAAAAACGCAGCATGTTGAGCACATGATCTTTTCATTTCCAAACCACAAGTCCAAATCATCTCAGTATGTCCTCTCTGGCTTCATCTCCAATAGATCTAATATGATTGTCCCTCTGACCTTCTCATTCCTGACCCCCTCCATCCTCGTCACTCCAAATGAGAAACTCAACAGCTTCATCTCTACAGCTCTGCCTCTGGTCTCCATGTCAGTCCCACTGTCTCTAAACCATACAGCATTCCTGATCTCACCACTGTCTTGTAAAGCTTTGTTTTTGTTTGGCTGATACTCTGTTATCATACACCAGAACTGTCCCTTTTCTCTCCCTGTCCCACTGGAACTCTTGGCTTTACCTAACACCCTCCACATTCTTTACTGCAGTTTGCTGTAACCTAGTGGCTCCGCTCTGGCTACTTTCAGTCGCTTGCAAGTATTGCTGGAGATAATCTTCATTTCTCTCCTCTCCATGTGAGGTCTCCATCTCTATAGATGTTCCTTCACATACTCTCTGCTCTCACCAAAGATCAAAATGTCTTCTTCAAACACCTTCGCCCATAGAGATTATTCTTTAATTTCATACATCAAGAAGGAGATCATAGCTAATCCTTGATGCTGTCCCACTCCCACCTTGAACTTCTTGAACTTTCTCTTGGTTTATCATCTCTTCAACACTGATATTTGCTGTAAAATCATCTGGAAGCACCTCCTGGCCCTCCAGAGGCTGTCTCAACTCCTCCCTGAAAGGGACAAAACTTTATTACTCTTTTAGCTTCCACTCCTTTGTCCTCTTCATTCTCCTCACCATCAAAGTCTTCATGTACACCACCGTCCTGTGCTGTCCTGCAATGCTCTCATCTACATTACTTTGCAGTCACATCCTACCTGTGAGGTGTAACCATCAAAGACTCACTCTTCCAGTGTTTTGATTCAGACACAATATCCTGTCTGACACTGGAGAACATTCTTGACAAACTTCTTAGGATAACTAAATTTCTCCCACCGACTCAGTACGATAGAACTGCTACAGTTTTTTTTTCAATTAGCTGGCCAAGGTTTCCTGCTAATAAAACACAACTAAGTTTAGCTCTTCTTTCCTTCTTCTCCAGGAGTTTTTTTTTCTTAAACGAAACTGATAGGGCTAAGAATTGAGGAATATACTAAAAGTAAAAAAATATATAGTTGGCCGTTGAGTATTTCACCTAAAAAAAACAAAAACCCAAAATATCACTGTCTGAATCGGCCAGCTTCTCAAATTACACACCAGAATGTGTGGTCAAGTGGAAAGCACTGAAATCATATAACATTGATTACAGTTGAACTTTAATTTAAGGCAGCGTGATTATGCCAAAAAAAAAAAAAAAATCAGAATTGCATTTTTTTTCTACTGAAGTTGCAATTTTCCTTTGCTCTAACCACAAGCATATAAATGTTGGGCTCTGTCTGTTTTTCTGTCTGTCTGTTTATCTTTTCTACCAAATTTTTTTTTTTTTTATAATATTCACAGAAGCGATGGTCTTTTTGTTTTTCCACAGATTAGTAAAGTAGAGGAAGGTGTGATAATAATCAGCTGTGCAAACACTCACCAACTTGCTCCCCTATGTCTTTATTATTAAGGAAAAATTGATCCTAATAACAGAGTCAGAATCAGAGAAAAGCAGCCTTGTTCTTCAGATGGCTACACTTGGAGTCCCTTGACTACATGCCTGTCTTTTGCTCTGCACCCTTTTGTGACCTTTTCCGTCTTTGTAAACACATTCAAGGGGTAGCCATTGCTATGAAATCATGTTCCATATTACTCAGGAGTTTTAGAATTGAAGGAATTACTGCTGGTTATTTAACAAAACAGCTTTAAGCTGGGGATAGTGTTATTTTAAAGCAGCGCTTTCTGGGCCCTCAACAGACAGCACAGCAGAGCTTTATTGGTGCTTCAATGATGAAGAAAATCAATGATAAGGAAGCAGTATAATAATTTATATATAAATTGCTGATGGAGTTTGTAAGTTTTTTGTCCAGCTTAATATGCTTTGTACACCAAAGATACGTTTTTGTAGAAGGCTAAGGAAGTCTAAAAGAGAAGATTTATATAAACTCTAATTGTTAAATGAAACTAGAAACAACTTTACATTTCTTTCTGTCTAACTGCACAGATCAGCTTTGTACAAAAGAGCATATATTGGAAATTCTTCTTGTTGTTGTTTTCATATTAACTTTCACTAATTTGTATCTTGCTCCTGTGATGTAGTGCAGTGTTGGTTATTAGAAGTATAGCTTGGGTTGATGGAGTTTGCCAACAGCTTAAAAAACAGCTTATTTAAGTAAGTTTTTACTTGAATAAACCATACTCAGCCTAACCTACTCAAAAATCCATTTCACTACTACATGGCAAGTCCCTGTCTCGACATTGTACCAAAACTCATAGCTGGAAGCTTCATAATATTCACACTTTGTTTCCATCCTATTATCAATTCAATTCAATTCAGTTTATTTATATAGCGCCAAATTCACAACACATGTCATCTCAAGGCACTTTACAGTTCAACCAGATCATACAGTCAAATTGATACAAAGTTTTCTATCTAAGGAAAACCACTTGATTGCATTGACTCATTGACTCAAATACAATCCCCCACACTAAGCATGCTTGTAGCGACAGTGGAGAGGAAAAACTCCCTTTTAACAGAAAGAAACCTCCAGCAGAACCAGGCTCAGTGTGAGCGGCCATCTGCCGAGGCCGACTGGGGTTCAAGGAGACAGAAGCAGAGATACAAAAAGCAGCTGTAAAAGGCGGCCCCGTCCAGGAAACACACAACCAGGCAGACGAGCTCCAAGGCAGCTCCCATGCCAGAGGACGAAGAGAGCACATCCACTCAGTCACGGTCAGAGAAACAGGACCACACTGGAAGTGGCTATCAGTGGCTCAACAGATGCTTTCGCTCTGCCTCAATATTCCAGTAAACCTTTATCTCCCAGATATTCTTTTTGACAGGGCCAGGTCCATTAAAAACCTTTTGAATTTAGCTCAACTGTGAAATATCTAGGTAGAGAGTTATGATTGGCAGACACATTCAGTGGGACAGTACTGCCACATCCTACATTAAAATATGTATCAAGCTAAATTTGATTTTCCTAATTCATTTCCAGATTGGAAGGTTGAGGTGATTCCTCCAAAACTTTTGAAAATTAAGTTATGGTAAAATGTGATCAAGTTCTGAGGTTATATTTCATATTTATGTTGTATAATACCAACTAAAAGTGTGTTCTGCGAGGTGCGCTGGCAGAACCGAAGCATTGAGTGAACAAAGAACTGAATATAGAGTTGGGTGGCATTCAGTAGGGGTGGGTCCAGGACGCTGGATCTGCCGTTGAGCCCCTCCGAGGTGTCATGGGCTTAAATCAACAAAACACCAGTGAAGGGAGGTGCCCTTTGACAACCTGCTGAAGAGAGAGAGAGAGAGAGAGAGAGAGAGAGAGAGAGAGAGAGAGAGAGAGAGAGAGAGAGAGAGAGAGAGAGAGAGAGAGAGAGAGAGAGAGAGAGAGAGAGAGAGCGATGCCACTGGCTCACAGATGGTGCAGGGGCAAGTACCTGTAAAGGTGGGCCAGTTGCGATATCCCTTATCGTATTTTGCATATGATGAGAAGATTAAAGAGTATATAATAATGATTTTTATAGTTTTGTTGAGTATTACGAAAAAAAAAAACATTTGTTTTCATTTTAAAGTCAAGAATTACATTTTTATAAAAGCATTAAAAAAATGGCGGAATCGGAGAACAAAGAACTTTTTTCTGCCATTATGGTTGGAACATTTATGTGTGCATCATTGCCTTAGATGGTGCTTTGCATTTCTGAGCTCTTGAACATGCCTCTACATAAGGTGAAGATGTAAATCGCTCACAATGATCGCTGGAATTTTGTTTGATGTTTACATACCACTAGAACTGTAGTTTAGAGACCAAATAGACCACCACCTTATTTGGGGGTTCAATTCTTTTCTGCAGAACTCAAAATGTACCTGTATATTGCCATTAGTCATGTTTACATCTAAGTGAATTGCTAATTTTAAGCAAGTTTAAACAAAAGGTAGAGGCTGCAATGTAGGACGGACCACAGATCAGTAATGGAGGAAAGTTTTAATGAATTTTTTGCTATCGATCAAGTTGTTCTTACATTACCATATCACCTAATAATGGCAATGTCACTTCTGACCATGTTTATGCGTATAATAGGAGAAGATGCCAACAGCAGAAAGAGCTGATCAGTCATGTGAGGTGAAAGTTTGCTACATCAGAGAAAAAAAAAGTATTTCCATCTTCTGTTTTGCACATTAACCCCTCTCACAATAGCCAAAAACTGCTTTTTATCAAACATAGACATTTTTTCAGTGAATTTGAGTTTTTTTTGTCTTTCAAATTTTGCCATTTCCATCAAGCTTTTGTGATAAAAATATTTTGGACAAAAACTCTGCTTTCAGATTAGACGCCTTAAGTTCTTCTCCCCCTTTGACCAGTTTGTACATGTGTCAGCACTCCTGTTTCTCTCAACAACTGTGCCACCCAACTCCTTTTTTGGGGGGGGGTTGGGTTGTTTTAAATTAATAAATGATGCGTGAGGAATAATATGAAAAAAGCATCCTACTTTTTTTAATG